TTCCACTGCTCCACTTGATTTAAAACGTTCTCGTAGTGTGGAAAATGTTTCCGGTCTTGGATGTTGCATATTGCTTATAAATGCGAGATGCTATTTCTTTGAGCTTCGCTCAAAACGAACACCATTTGTTTAGAAAAATTAATTATCAAACACGTATTTGTTTCCAAGGATGATGCGATATTTTAGGGAATTAAGCTGTTCCATAAAAGACAAGCTAATAACCGAAACAATAGTCGTAAAAACCCTTATGTGTCTAGTATCAAAAAAAGCTTATAGAAAATTGAATCCAAACTTGTACATATATACAGGGCGATGCATTTGAAATTTTTGAGATAAACTACAATTTGCATTTTTGACACCCTGGATGAGCAAAAATGAAAATTCGAAAAGGTAACAAATAAGAGAAAAGCTGATACCAAATTCAGCACTCCAAATTTCAAAATGGCAGACTGAGGGGTTTCCGAAGTAGGGGGTTATTCTAGACAGAACACCTTATATTCTTCTTTTGAATGTTTATACAAATATGCAATAAAATTCGAGACATTCCATTTGAAAAATCAAAACTTTGATATGTAGGTCGAAATTAGGACATCCTGTATAATGGCCAATATTTCAGAAATGTGCCCTCAAATGTCATGTACAACATCCCATAAATAGATTTTCACAAAATGTATTTGTAGAAGTATTGTATTTAGTAATATTCCATCCACACCTGGATGGGGCGCCCTGTATATATATACACCTATATGGGTACAAAATACAATTACTTGTTAATTGGGAAAATTTGTACCCAACTAGTCGTTGGCTTTGGCAATGACTACTGCTCTCTCATATACACCTATATATATATATATATATATATATATATATATATAGGTGTATATGATATATATGATATGATATGATATATATATATAATGTTAGATATGATCAGCAAAGTAGGCGCCATCTGTGGAGCAATGTTGCAATTTCAAAGTACGCAACGCTCATGAGCCACTGATAGCTAGTAGGTAGTACGCAGTATTAATTTTGTAGAAATCTCAATTTGACTTGCATCTTACATATCACGGAAATGGCGTAGAAATGTGCTGCTAATGGCAAACGGGGAATCCAAGTATAGCGCAGAAAACTCGCGATTGTAATGACGTCTCAGGATATCGCGGAACTTTGCGAAAAATAATCACTAACTTCTGGTGTTTGTTATCGGATATGTCACACAAATGAAGACGGAAGACTTGAAGATTAATTTGTAGCAGATATCGGGCTGTTCTAATATACTGCATATTGCGGTCCTTAGTAAATACATCTAAAAACAATAGATACTACATTGAATTGATGAAAATTTTAATATTAGGCAGCATATGGTTTGATAAAATATCGTAAAGTTTTTCAAAAAATTGACAGGCCGAGATTTCTGAGGACGAAGAACAGGCCTAAGATCTATTTTTAAAATTGTATGTAGATGTAGAGGGTTCCGCAGACTATTATTTCTATATGCTGCCCAAAAAATATAAATGTGTTACGAGAAGCTGTGTCAGACGGGTTATTTGTGTTGGCTTTTCCGAATAAAAGTTACGTTCAAAATTATACATTACGATTTTCCATTTTTTTTTCGTTTTGTAGAAATCTCAATCTGACGTAAGAAATTTGACATATCACTGCAATGACCTAGAAATGTGCTGCTAATTGCAAACGGGAAATCCAAGTATAGCGCGGAAAGCTCGCGATTATAATGACGTCAGAGAGTATTGCCACCCTCTGCGAAAAATAACCAGAAACTTCTGGTGCTTGCTATCGGATATGTCACACAAATAAGGATTGATGATTAATTTGTAGCAAATATCGGGCTGCTCTACGGTGAGGTTCAAGTTGACTCACGTCGTAATGTGTATGAGATAGAAGCGCGAGCAGCGTCCAATTTGTATGCTAGAAAGAGTGCGCCGATGCAATTCGAGTTGCTAGATAATAAAGTGCTCCTATCTCTTTCTAACACACGTATTGCATGCTTCTTGCACTTCTCTCTCGTACACATTACGACGTCAGTGGTATTTGGTTTTCAGTGTATATACCGTAGCAAATGCATCTAAAAACAATAGATACTAGATTGGATTGATGAGAATTATAATATTAGGCAGAGTATGGTTTAATAAGATGTCGTAAAAAATTGTCAAAAAATTGACAGGCCGAGATTTCTGAGGACGAAGGATACGAGTAGGACTAACATACACGTATGTTTTTTAACATGGTATATAGGGGATCTCGGTTAAAGCTATAATCCTGCTAGTGTTGCCACCTGCTTCCATTATTATTAATTTAAACTTATGATGAACGATGGTGAGTGAAAAGGTATTCTACATTTGTTTGGATTAGGTAAGCGTTTTTGGAAATATTCAGGTTTCAAAAGCTGCTGGTTAAGCGTGGAATATTTTGTGGCCGGGAAGTGAACGAGAAATTTGTCAATACATCAGGCATACCTGCGCTATAAAATGAGAAGGTTCATTTCTTGTCCATGTCATATTCCTTAACGAACTGTTTGTGAATTATTTTTTGACTATGCGATAAAATGTTGGTACGCAAATATTATCTATCGAAATAAGACAGCACAAAGCGCCATGTACCACCAGAATCAACCACTGCGAGAATGGAAGCAGCTATCAGTTGAAACCGCAGAGCATCTCAGTTCGCATTTGTCAGCAAAGTCACCACTGTGCCCGATGGATGCTGTCGATTCTGGTAGTTTAGTAGATGTGGCCTATCCGCCATTAAAGAAATTAAACATGCTGCTTTCGTCCATCCGACCACAGACAGCCAACCATAGACAGCGATTGCGTGCTTTTTGGCAACTCATCATCATGGTCTAGGCTTGGTCACATTCACTATACCACCAGAATCGTGAGCCTTTAGCGGTCACACTGGTGATTGGGCAATCAAACGAGAGCTGAGATCTTTACAGTAGTCGTTTCTGGTAATAGATGGTGCACTGTCTTATTCTGATAGGTCTCATGCCGCGCATAGAGGATAGTTTGCTTTCGCTCGTTGTACAGCCTGAGAGTAAGCTGACGAGTTATCAAATAGCAGCAGTAGCATGTTGAGTTGAAAGCAGCATGTTCAGACGCAAGCCTATTAAAGAAGAAAGGATGAAGAAGAAGACGGATAGAAGAAACTGCGATCCAAGTCAAAGATTAGTAGATGTTTTCAGAAACTTTCTGACGGAATATTCGATCAGCTACTCGTATTTCAATCGCTCACTTTACTATCACACTCACACCACCGAGTCGGATGGCGAACGCTGTAATTGTGGCAGGAGTATTTTGTTTTGTCGTCGCTAAGATACGTTGATAGGCATGTAATGAATTAGTATTTTCAGCTATTATGTAGGTATACTGCGTGTTATACTATTAAGCATGTCGACATTATGCTTGCTTCAGTATTTGCTATTCTTTTGTTAATAAAATGAGCTTGAACAATCCTGAAACTTCAATACATGGACAGTCATTGGTGCCTAATTATGGAAAGGGTCCTCCTATGTTCTCCCTACTATTTATTTTAATAGAATTTGTTATTCGTATTTTTAGAATATCGGGTTCACAATCGACCAGGAAATCAAATACCTGGAATGAAGACAAAAGATGGAAGCTATAAAATTAGCCCGAGAAAAGCAAATGGGATATTTAAAACCCGCACAGTATTTCCAAGTGCTTCAGAACAACTTTGTTCCAAGTATGCAAAAAAATGAGACGAGGCAGATGACGCAGTAGGCTCATATCATGAGTCTTTACTGTGGGCTTGATCGATAACTTACATTTAAAAATTATACTAAACAGTATGCTTCTAATTTCCAAAACATTTTTAGGATTTGATTTTTAACTTGTTTCTATGTTGTTATTATGTTATTGTATATTGGACAATCTATAAAAAAAACACTCAACTTTGACAACGCGCACCTCCGCAATTATTATAGGTCGAGCAATGAGTTTTCCGTCAGAAAAATGTTAAGATGGCATATTCTATCCTCGTCCACAAGGGGTTGTCAAGAACGCATAATCAGTTATTTCTCAAAATTTAATTTCCCTTTTCATAAGTTTTTTTTATATAGGGTTTATAATGTTTGTACGGTTTTTGAATAACTAGAAATACAGGAACACCTTATTTACTTTTCGACTTATTTCATAAGGTTGGGTATATTCAACTTATAATGAAAATACACCAATTCTAGCGATCTGACTTTACCAACTAAATGCTATTTCTTTATTTTGAACCGTAATGTGATGTTTTTCATTTACCTTGATATCTGATTTACAGATGAGCTAGCTTTAACTCATAGATAAGCCGTAAAATCCCCCAAAAACCTTATTTTAAAAACGCTTGTGGAACGGGGAATCAAAGGATGCGGAAGCATACTTAGTGTTCCATTTCAAAATTTTGAGAAACCGTTCATTTTGCGTTCTTAATCACCTTGTATGAACTATCAAAAATACTGAAAAGTAAGTGGATAGCGGAAAAATATAGGGCCATAAAATTTTTATTCCGGAAAATGATCCAATATCTCAACAATCTGAAATCAAAACTCTATAGTCTGTTGTATCAATTGCTCTACTTGAAAGGATCTACCCAAATTTTGGGCCTTCCATTTAAAAAATGTATGTTTGGTTCACCACGTAGTTATGACTCACCCTGTAGAGATATAAATACTTTTAAAGCGCACTGTTGGCTACATTTCTTTGTGATTACTTTTTTCAATATGATTACCAATAAAAAGTTATCGAGCGGATTATGCTCAGCACAAACTTGACCCTCTGAGAAAAAAGTCATTCAAACATTAGTAAGCTTCAGTTAGTCCATAGACGTTCTTTCCCTGCCCGACCGGTAGTGTATCCGGAAACGTTGCCTTTGCTAATTAGTAATACAAAAATATTTCTTTTTATACGCCCAAAGCAAAATGATGTTCCATATTTAGCTAAACTTTCTTATCGTCTAACTTTGAGAACAGAACTACTAACCTCTATTTGGTCAAAGTTTTGTGCAGCTTGCTTGTAACTGTTCCTCCTCCTAGCCTCCATCTTCAATGCTTCTATTTGCTCTTCCATCAGACTTTCAACTGTTCTGCCTGGAACTTCAGTGTCAAAAGTGAATTTTCCTTCTTTGGTCACCGGTACTTTGGGAGTAGCTTCATCCAACGACTGAACCCTTTCTATGGAGTGGGTTGAGCGCAAGCGAGGAGTTGTGGTTGCCGTGTGGTCCTAGAAGAGCAAGAATTTTCGGCTAAAGTACAATCAAAATGTATCTTTTCCTTGAAAAATTATTTATCCTTATTGAGAAAGCATTCTAATTCAAAAGGGCAGGGCTAAAATCATGTTAATGATTTCGCTCCCGTTAGTATGTGTAGATGATAGAAGAGATATTTCGGTTCTGAACGAGTGTTAGCAAAGGAATGTTCCGCAAAGGAAATTTAGGAAATCGATTGAGATCATTTCGAAAGAATCGTACAGTTTCGATTCCGATGATTTCGATTCCGATTCTAGTGGTTCCGATTTCAATTCCTGACACTGGAACTGTTATTAGGTAAAAAACCCATGTAATATAAAAAACCGGAAAATGTGAACTTGCTGACTAGGTAGCTCCTAGTGTGCAAATAAATGCTCACTGTGACCGATGTTAGACTCACCAATGGTGTCACCTTTGGAGGACTGACTCAACTATAAAAACTACGTCACATATTTCAGATCGTTCATTAACTTTTTGTATACTAAATAAATCTGTTGCAAATTGTTCTAAAAAATGTCGCTTCAGAAACTTAGGAAATTTAGATAAAGGCTTGCAATGAGTTTTTGGAAATTTCTCCTTCCGAACAATTGATCTATTTACCAAAAGTTGAGGAAAAGACTGTTCAATACCTTCGATGTACTAGCTCCTGTAAAGTATATTCAATTTAAAGTTCTAAAACCACAATGGTTAACGTTTTCTGTTAAACGCATGGTTAAACTAAAAAACGGAAAATTCCGGAAACTTAAGAAAAACAAAACTGTTGCCAATTGGGAAAATTTTAAACTAATGAAAAATCAAACGAATATTGCCATACATAATGAAAAGAAAAGTTATTTGAAATAGTGTTTTGATAAAAATATCAATCAAATTGAAGTGCTTTGGAAAAAATTATTAAATTTAAATATTAGCAACAAAAAAACAGGTTGTATTCGCGATCAGCTGAATAATCCGGATGAGATAAATAACCATTACTAACCATTTTCTTCAGATCTCTCAAGCAAGCTCATCAATAGACTATGACACTGGCTTACTATTATAGCAATAGGCGTTCTAAAGTCAACACTCTTTTTGAATTTCACACAGTTTGTCAGGATGTCGTTAAAAAGGCACTTCTCAGAATTATATCGCTTGCCATAGGTGCTGATGGTTTAAATCTTGAAATGATCTTATTGTGTTCCCATAAAATCAAATGTAGGGGACATTGCAAATATAATAAACTTCTGTATTTTAGATAGAGAATTTCCAGACTCATGGAAAATTGCCAAAATTATACCAATATCAAAGAAGTGTGAAATTAATGACTTCTTCGCCCCATAAGTATTTTACCAGTGCTATCAAAACTAATGGAGATTATCTTGGACCAACGAATGAGAGATTATTTAACTGAGAACAATTTGTTACTAGACCATCAATCGGGATTTAGGAAAGGTTTCAGCTGCGAAACTGCACTGTTAAATATATTTACTGACAACATCTTCAAAGCAACAGATTCCGGAAAAACCACCGCTCTCGTGCTCTTGTACTACTCCAGAGCATTTGATAAAGTAAATCACGAAATGCTGTATGCTATTGTTTGCTGTTGCTTGTCATTTTACTGTTTGTTTTTTTTATGTATATACATACTGTAAATTGTTTGCTGACGAACCCTATAGATGTTTTATACATGTCTAATGGGTAATAAATATTATTATTATTATATATACAGGGTTTTCCGAATCTGCTAGCACGCTTATGTGCCACTATTTAATTAACAGAACATAACATGTAGAAACAGATAAAGGCATGTCCTCCAAAGATGTCATCCCATCGGGTATTCTACAAGGCTCCATTTCAGGAACTTTGATTTTTAGTATTTATACCTCAAACCATTCCCAAAGTCTCCGAAGTTGTCAGGTACATTTGTATGCTGACGATACTCAGCTTTATTTTTCTTTCAATCCTAACGAGAAACGTGATGCATTAGCCATTATTAATCGAGATATTGAAAGATTAGTTGTATTTTCGGAAAATCATGGTCTACAGATTAAGGCAAGAAATCATAACTCATGTTATTTGGCAGATTGAAAGACTATATTGAGCCCACTTTTCATGTCAAAATAAAAAGTGAATCTATACCTTGCTCTGCCACTGTGAGAAATTTGGGAGTAGAATTTGACTCATATCTAAGATTTAAGCCTCATATTAATAAATGTATCCAGAAAGCTTATGTTTCTCTAAAAGTTCTGTATGCTCTATATGTCCTCCCTGTTAAACTTAAAATATTGCTTTGTGAAGTACTAGTACTCAGCCATTTTAATTTTTGTAGCAGCGTTTATGGGTTTTGTTTAGACAAGATTGACATGGATAGAATTGAACGAGTACCGAAGTCCTGCCTACGATTTATTTATGGTAGGTATACGTAAGTTTGAACGAGTTTCACATGTCGATGTGAGTTGCATGCATGTAATCTTTTTCACAAAATTATGTTCTTTAAGCAACCACCATATTTATTCAATAGAATAACTTTTCGCACCGATGTTCATAACTTAAATTTGCGGTTTCGGGGCTACATATCACCTCCTCCTCATCAAACTTCTCTTTTTTGAAGATCTTTCTCATACAACATTTACCGGCTTTATAATCAAATTCTTAATGACTTTAAAATTCTGCATCCAAACCAGTTTAAAATCAATTATAAATTTTTTTTTTAAAACACTTCAGCGCACATTAATGTAAATAAGGCACAAGCAACCAAACTAATGAAAACAATTTTTTTTTTGTACTATAACTCACATCTATTATTCGAGGCTTTCTAAGGTAGATCTTTCTTTATGTGTAATAGGTAAAGGGCTGAACTTGTATCGACAGTCGACAGCTGGGGTTCTACTGGCGCTCTCTGTGCTAGAGCCTGTGCTACTCTGCGTGCGCGTAAAATCCACTCGTCAAATATAGCCAGAGTGATTCTACTGGCATCGCGTAAAAATGGAAAAGCCCAGGATTGCCTGAGGCATTGCCGTACAGAGCCGTTCAGACTATTGTTGCAACACGGATAAAAATACATTTGCATTTTTAAATGCCTTCAGCCCTTTTTTGTAACATATATCATTTAAATGTATTTTGCTACTATTTTTACGTAACTGTATGTTGCAGATAGACATTATTATTATTATTATATGTCTCTGAGAAGATGTGACAGAAAGAAAACTGGTTGAGCAGCAAAGTAGCAAGATTGCCTCTGGATAATTTTGTGGTGACTGTATATATTGGTCTTAATGTGCATAAAATCAGGATGTTTACTATGTGAGAAAATGCTTACTGAATATGTTACCCATGAAGTTGATCTATTAGCTGTAACGGTATTTATGTTGTCCTTCTGAAGAGAGGTTATGTTCAAAGTTATAAACTGCGATTTTCCCGGTTTTTTGCATTTTCAGAGACCTTGAGAAGAATTACGGGGAATCACCACCGCGTCCGTGTTGTGTGTAATTAAGCCACATCATTAGGAATAACGCATCACACACAAAACATTTTCGCAGTATCTATGCATTGCCGTTTCGCCTGCAGGGGTATTGCGTAACTGTATTCTAGAATGCATGAGGCACAATTCATTAACAAGGTACCAATGTAATCAAATCGTCATTCAGAATGAATTGTGCCAATGTTGAATATAAACATTTTCACAAAAAATCACCGTGCTGTAAATTAGTAGCCTGAACGCTTATATGGGCACAGTTACACGCAACACTGTCCCCGCGGAAATGTATTTTTGATGACGCCATCAGTTTATTTGTTTATAGTCATACAATTTTGCGAAACAACGGAACCTCCATTTTTTTGAGAATTATATGAGAACTAAGTGTGCCTCGGTACTAACCACAAATTAGAGCCTTACTTATATGCATACTGATCCCATAAATCACTCTTAAGACAATTAAGTTTTAAAAACTTCTTTACAGTCAAATAGATCAAACGCGGCTTAAGTAAGCCACACACTGTGAGACTTGCCTCGAGGTACGTCGCGAGGCGAGGTCTCATGATATCGGCAGACGTCAGTCCCCAGTCACTCGTCACCCCACACCTTGAGACAGTATCGCAGACGGTATCACACAGTTCGCTATTTTTTTGAGAGTGAATATAAAATGGCCTTTCATGAATATTCAAAAAAACAAAAAGTTGCACTTGGTGTTGCCATTGGTTTGGTACTATTCGAGGAAAAACAGGAAAAAAGAAAATGGTCAAAGAATTGGTTTCTTGAAAGGAAGAAGTTCTCTCACATGCCACTTTTAAAAGAATTGCAGCAAAAAGAACCCAAAGATTTTTTGAACTATTTGCGTATGAACGAAAAACAATTTAATTTTCTTTTAAATTTAATCCGGCCAGACATTGAAAAGAAAAATACTGTATTAAGAGAAGCGGTATCAGCTGAAGAGCGATTGGTCGTTACTCTTAGATATTTAGCTACTGGTCGAAATTATGAAGATCTGAAATTTTCCTGTGCTATTTCTCCACAGTTACTGGGTGAAATTATTCCAGAAACTTGCTGGGCAATATACAACGCTTTAAAGGAAAAGTATTTGAAGGTACGTTTTTATAATATACTTTTTATTATTTTAAATGCAAAACATATTAAACATTAAACTTAGCTAATGCTGTCAAAAAATACTTATAATTCAGTAAACGAGTAGTAATACAGTTAACGTAATATTCCAGTGGCAGAACTAGTCTTGGAAGTTTTCATAATATGAATAAATATCTCCCTGTGCAGTTGGTTGTTGAGGTTGCTGCTCAGATTGCTGTACTGTATAAGCTATATTGGAAAAAGTATTACTCGGTTCCACATGGGTGCGGGCCTGTCGTACTTCAAAGTTTTCATTTAACTTATTCAGTTTGCCGTAGTACATTACATCATTTATAAGCTTTTCTGCAATTACTCTCTGATTAGATGTCATTTGCTTTAAATCAGAAGCAAATTTTTTTCCTGCTATGTCGCAGGGAT